CCACTATGCCTCTTTCAAGATTTCTCCTTTCTGTTACCATTCTGTTACAAAACTTTTGCAAAGCCGTATTAGACTCAGAAGCAGCAGAAAGCTTTATTGATGCTAACTTTGTGTCCACACACAAAATATCTCTTAGGGAGAGGTCAACACCTTTGGCCGTTGAGGCCATAGATGGTAGACTTCTTAATAATCCGCTCATTACCCATGAGACCTTACCTGTTTCATTGCAAGTAGGGGCCTTGCATAAGGAACATATCACTTTTCAATTTATCTCCTCACCCTCTTGTGCCATTGTACTTGGTTTTCCATGGCTAATCAAACATGATCCACGTATAGATTGGAGGAAAGGGGAGATCCTAAAGTGGGGTGAAGGATGTTGTAACAGATGTTTAAAACCTATAACTGAAGAATTGGGTACAATCAATGTTCCTACTGCCTCTCCATTGTCCACTACGGTTCCCTCCCAATATGGGGAGGTAATGGAGCTGTTTACAAAGTACATGCAGATACACTTCCACCACATAGATCTTATGATCGTCCGATAAATCTTTTGCCAGGTACTATACCCCCGAAAGGGAGAGTTTATACCCTGTCTCATGTGGAAAGTAAAATCATGGAGGAATATATACAGGATGCATTTGTCTGGAAAACTCTGATCAATCCGGTCACACTATCACAGTGCCCGATCGGCACCACAGTATGGCTTTGCATGATTGGCGCAGTCGCACAAGCTGCATGGAGGGAGAGGCTCAACTCACCCCCAGAGCCTCTCCCTCCATGCAGCTTGTGGAAAGGCGGCCAGGTCCAGCTTTGGGAGGGATGCCGGCCACTGCAAGATGGCGCTAATTAATAACGCCGCCCACAATGACTTCACTAGTGACGTGAACATGTGTACGGCATCCCCTTTTGCCGTGCATGCACATTCTGGGGTCATGGGACCCAAACCTTGCAATAGCAGGACTTACTGGGTTATTTAAACCAAAACGTGCAGTTGTTCAGTGCCCTGTCATGGTTTCCATCCTGTTGGTTATCCAAGAGCACGTTCCTGATTCTGATTATTGTTTTTTGATCTTGGCTTGACTTGACCTCCCGTATTTCTGGTATCCCTGACCCTTTGGCTTTGTTCTTTACGTATTTGTTCCTATCTGTATTCCTGACCTCGGCTCATCACTGTTTATTCTCTTACGTTAATTTCAGCCCTGGAATACGTTGTTATTGTTTGTATTTGTTACGTGTTTTAATTAATTCTTCGTGTTGGGCCACTGGTTCACCCTGACAGTTAGAGCTTTTATTTGCTTTTTGCAGTTTTTTTAAACAAAAACTGCACTTTTACTGGTGATATCATCATCGTAATAAGTTTTACTGGTTTGAAAAACTCATATTTGTATTAAGCTAAGTCTCCCGAGTATAACAATACAACATGTACAGGTTTTATGGTGTTTTGGAAAGTTACAAAGATGATATAAGGCTTGCCCATTTCAGTTTACCATATTGGTTTGCTGGGTCTATGTTGCCTTTTGAGACCATATCGTAGCCCAGGAATGTAAATTAACCCCATCATGGCATACCATTTGCAAATGTAAACAACCCAGGGCATTCAAAATGGGGTATGTCCAGTCTTTTGTAGTAGCCACTTAGTCACCAACACTGGTCAAAGTTAGCATTTTTTTTAGTTTTTTTATGCATTTTTAAAAAACAACAACAAAAACTGCACTTTTACTGGTGAAATCATCGTTGTGATAAGTTTTACTTTTCAAAACACTCATATTTGTTTTCAGCGAAGTCTCCCGACAATCAGAGTTATGAGTCAAATTACACAGCGTGGGAAAATTCCAAAGAACTTTCCCACGCTGTGTAAAATGACACAAAGCACTCTGATTGGTGGATTTCAAGCCAACCAATCAGAGTGCTGTGACAGGTAAATGTAGAGACTTACCTGTCAGTCTCTTCATTTACCTGTCAGAGCACTCTGATTGGATGGCTTAAACCCACCAATCAGAGTGCTCTGGGCCTAATTGCGGGGGGGGGGGGGCAAGGCTTTATAAGCCTTGCCCCGCCCTGCAGAGCTCAGTCTGCGCGTAGCCCTCCATGGGTGAAGATGGATTATTATTTTTTGGGCTAATTTTTTTTAATTTATTTTTTTAAGTACGTCGTTTATTATGGATTTTTTATTTGGCCTTTTTTGGGGCTGAAAAAAGATTTTACAAGAAAGAAAACATTGAACGGTAAGTTTTATTTTTTTTACAGGTACTTAGTTAAAGGTCCCCCCCCTTTTACTTAGTATTAGTAAATTTGGCAGAAAGACTGGTAACGTTTGGAATTACAATTTGAGGGCAATGCTAGTATTCGTACAGCGCCTGTCACGATTCGGGAACCTAACACGCTAACAGGTCACAGAGAGGAAGGGTGCTATACCGGTCCTTAGAGTGGCCGGGTTAAAGCACACTAAGAATAGTCAGGAGACAAGCCAAGTAAAGGGAGCCAGAAAACAGGAGAACGAGAAACAAGCCGAGGTCAAAGGATTGGAGAATACAGGAAAATCGAAATAACAAGTCAAATAATCGGTAACCAGAGAGAAACACGAGCAAACTGCACTACAGGTATCACAAGACCACAACAGGGCACTGAGAGACAGGAAAGGTAAGTATATAAATCCTTTGCTTAATTCTGATTGGATAACTTCCAATCAGAATTAACAATCACACGTAGGAGATATCTACACCTCCCTCTGTGATTATGGTACTGTTGCTTTTACGCTGGGTCACGTGACTGACCCCGGCATTCACATAAAGGCGGGGGCTCCCAGCGTGCAGCGTTATACATGCTGCCGCTCGGAGGCGAGGACGCGAGCGGCGCATACGGCAGTGAGGACGCCGCTCTCCGACAGATAGGGGAAGGGGAGCCCTGACAGTGCCCCTGTTCACAGCAAACATGACCTATCACTTTGAGGGTGACGCTTACAGGGAGGAGGTCAAGAGGCGGTTAACCAGATATGGCCTGAATCTTTCGACAGATGATTCTGGCAACCCTGCGCAAGTTGGATGCGGAGAATGGAGCGGCATGGGAATGCGAGTGCCGATTGCGGAGATTGGGGCTGTGGCCAATTGGTCTCTCTCCCCAGCAGCAGCCAGCATCCCAGGGAGAGGAGATTGTCGGTCCCTCGTCCCTGCAGCAACCATCATCACTGGGAGTCGAGACAGTCGGTCTGACTCCCCAGCGGCAGTGTGTTGTCAAGGGAGAAGAGATTACCAGTCTCTCTCCCCAGTGGCAGCCAGCATCCCCGGGAGAGGAGATTGTCGGTCCCTCGTCCCTGCAGCAACCATCATCACTGGGAGTCGAGACAGTCGGTCTGACTCGCCAGCGGCAGTGTGTTGACAAGGGAGAAGAGACAACCGGTCTCTCTCCCCAGCGGCATCCAACATTCCAGGGAGAGCAGACTGTCGGTCCCTCGTCCCTCCAGCAACCAACACCCAGGGAGAGGAGATTGTCAGTCCCTCGTCCCTGTAGCAACCATCATCACTGGGAGTTGAGACAGTCGGTCTGCCTCCCCAGCGGCAGTGTGTTGTCAAGGGAGAAGAGACAACCGGCAACCATCATCACTGGGAGTGGAAATGGTTGCTCCCACCACCCAGCACCAGGCAGCGTTACCGGGAGTTGAGACAGTCGGTCTGACTCCCCAGTGACAGTGTGTTGTACCGGGAGAAGAGACAATTGGTCTCTCTCCCTAGCGGCAGTGTACCCTACCAAGGGGAGACCCTACTCCCCCAGACGGTGCAGATGGAACTGTTGTCTCTGCACCCGACCTACAGGGATGCTGGATGGCCTATCCAGATCCCCAACTACCCTCACAAGAATAACGGGCGGAGGAGGTAAGCGATGTCTCCCCTCCCCAACCAAGTTGCATCCAGGCTACCCCAGCAGAAGTGCTGGCATTGGGGCAGAGCGCAGTTGGCTTCTGCCCCCCAAGTCCCCACAGCGTGTTGCCCAGTAGCACCAGAGGAACCACCAGGTGCAGTAAATGTGTGTTGTGGGTGGGCTACTCATGTACTTGTTCACTGTGGGTGGGTTTATCGACTACCGACAGGTCAGGTACCTGTTAGTCTCCCCCCCAAAGGGGAGATGTGTGACTGTAGCAGAGAGCTGCTACTCCACAGGTTATCTCCACTGAAGATCCCAGTAAGGCTCAGGAACAAGTATTAAAAGTCCATAAGGCAATAATTTCAGCAGCCAAAACAATCCAATAATATCCCCACATCAATCCCAATGACTGGACGACACGCAGCATCAGGAGCAGAACTGAACTTTTAATCACACAAACTCCTTTTAAAGGTTTCTCCCATGCACATTAATTTGTACAGTAACGAATAGTATAATAGTTACCTCCCATACATCTCCTCCCCTCAGTGTGACACATAATCCACTTATACATGCTACAGTTTTACCTTGTTTCTAGATGTACCCCAAAACAGTCAGGTACAATTATCTAAGGTGATCCCCTGGTAGCCCTGATCTGGGTGACCAACATATTCAAAATTCACCCAGATCGGACCAGGGGTTTGGGAGTTAGGTGGAAGAGACAATTTGACCGACCGCACATGAGGTGGTATCCGAAAAGCCTCCATATGTTTTGGCCCTGTGGTCGGTCTCCGTTCAGGAGATAAAATACATAGAAATACTTGTCATCCAGTGTTAAATCGGTATTCGTATGAATACCCTTGTTCGGTACTTTTAACTCATCGAACGAGGGGCTAGTTGGCCCGTCCGTTCGGGAGTTACGGAGCTCTGGAGGTCTCAGCGGTGTTCGGGTGATTGAGTGTCTGATTTGAGTTCCAGACACTTGACGACAAACACCACTGAGTTTTTCGTGTGTAAGATGGCCGCCGCCACGTGTTCGTATGCCGAACGGCGGCCACCCAGATACGTATACAAAATACCGATTGCATCAATTAACCTGCGGTTAGAGAAGTGTGCAAACCTAATAAGGTGCACACTTCTCTCTGGGGTGGTCTAATGGTTCGGTAGTTTTCATTCGTATGGAATATGGATGGAAACTACCGAACAATCATTCGAATGCTACATACAATCTATCTATACAGGAAAATAAACACACAAATTAAATTTTTAACACAACCTTTGAGGACAGCCCCATGCCATCTGCTACACTGCTCCCCCTTGCCCACAAGCCGGCATACACAGTCTGATCCAACACGGATCGGCTTGGGGATGACCGGGTGGCTCACGGATCATTTTTCAAGATCTGTTTGTCTGGACAACCCGTCAGTGTTGCCATTCTGTTTTCCTGGGCGGTACTGGATGTTAAAGTCAAACGGCTGCAGTGCCAAACTCCAGCGCAGCAGCCTGGCAATGTCCCCCGCCACCCGGTTTAACCATACCAACGAGTTGTGATCTGTGAGCAAAGAAAAGGGCTGTCCATACAAATATGGTTGTAACTTCTTTAGGGCCCACACAACAGCCAGGCACTCCTTCTCGATGGCAGCGTAGTTCACTTCTCTAGGTAACAGTTTCCGACAGATGTTCTCCGCCATCGGCCCCGACTTGGCTTAGTACTGCCCCCAATCCAAACATAAAGCATCCGTGTGAACAAGAAACCGTTTAGTTGGATCGGGAGCAGCCAAGACAGAGGCATTGATAAGTGCATTTTTCAGAAGTTGAAATGCCTGCTCACACTCCGGGGTCCAGATTACTTGGCGGGGAAGATTTTTGCTGGTAAGGTCAGTAAGGGGTTTGGCCAGGGTGCTATAGTTCCTGTAATACCCAGCTGTCCCTAGAAAGGCTAGTACTTGGGTCTTCGTCCTGGGGGTTGGTCATTGAGCTACGGCCTCTACCTTTGCGGGCTCAGGCTTCTGCTTCCCACAGCCTACTCTGTGTCCGAGGTACTGCACCTCAGCCATACCTATACTGCATTTGGCAGGTTTCAATGTTAAGCCTGATTCCCGGATTCTATCTAGAACTGCTCCTTTGTGGGCCAGATGTTCCTGCCAGGTATTGCTAAAGATGGCAATGTCGTCTAAATAAGCGCAGGTGTAATCTTGGAACCCATATAGGAGCCGGTCCACCATCCTATGGAAGGTAGCCGGTGCATTTTTCATCCCAAACGGCATCACCTTAAATTTGTACAAGCCGAATGGGGTGACAAAGGCGGGCCTAGGGATGGCGTCCAGGGCCAAGGGGATCTGCCAATACCTCTTACAAAGATCGATAGTAGTGAGGTATTGGCCCCTGGCCATCCAGTCTAACAGTTCATCTATCCGGGGCATAGGGCAGGCATCATACACTGTCTTTTCATTTAACCTCCGGTAGTCTATGCAGAAGTGGGTCGTACCATCCCGCTTAGGTACAAGGACTATAGGGGAGGCTCAGGGGCTGTCTGACTGCTCAATCACCCCCAGTTGGAGAATCTCTTCAATCTCCTTGCGCATGTTCTCCCTTACCGAGTCAGGAATGCAGTAAGGCATCTGGCGCATGGGAAGTTGCCCTGGGGTTTCTACCCGGTAGGTGGCCAGAGGGGTGTACCCCGGTATACTGGAGAATGTATCTTGTTTCTCCTTTAGTAATTGTTGTACCTCAGTAAGCTCCTGTGGGCTCAACCGGTCTCCCAGCGTAACTTCCCCTAGATCCCCGGACACCCGACCGTCCCCCAGCAGGTCTGGGAGGGGAAGGCTGTCGAACTCCTCAGAGGAAGGGGCACAAATGGCCGTCACCTCCTCTGAACGTTCCTGGTAGGGCTTCATCATGTTCACATGAATCATGCGTCACCCTCCAGTTCCGGCGCATGGGCCAATTATATAAGTGGTATCACATCTCTGTTCCACCACTCTATAAGGGCCCTGCCAGACGGCCTGTAACTTATCACGTCGGACAGGTTTTAAAATTAAAACTTTCTGTCCAACCTGGAAGCTACGGTCCCTGGCGCCCCGATCATACCAGGTGCGCTGGCGAGTCTGAGCTGCCTGAAGGTTCTCCCTTACCGACCTAGTCAATGCTTCTAAATGATCTCGGGATGCCAGCACATATGGTACGATGGGGGTACCGTCTGCGCTCCGGTCTCCCTCCCAGTGCTCCCTAATCAGGTCAAGGGGTCCTTTTACTCTCCTTCCAAATAATAATTAAAATGGGGAAAACCCAGTCGATTCCTGCGGTACCTCCCGGTAAGCGAATAGGAGATGGGGCAAGAATCGGTCACAGTCCCTATGGGTGCCTGCGAAGGTTTTTGTTTCAATGTACCATTGAACTGATCGCATATCCCATTGGTCTTGGGATGGTACGGAGCACTGATGATAGGCTTGATGCCACAAAATTTCCAAAGGTGCTGGGTGACCTCCGCAGTGAACTGGGTGCCCTGATCCGAGATGATGTCCCTGGATAACCCCATCCTGGAGAAAATCTGCATCAGGGCCTCAGCCACTGTTTCTGCATGGATATTAGTCAGGGCCACCGCCTCTGGATATCTGGTGGCGTAGTCTACAAAAGTTAAAATATACTTTTTACCAGAAGGACTGGGTCTCTGAAGGGGGCCTATTAAATCTACAGCTTTATGGGCTCGTTCCTGCTTCGCTCTGAAGGAAGAGAGGTTCGGCCTGCGGTGGTTGTGGTGTCGACTAGAGTGCTTGGAATCCTCAACAAGCGCTAGGAGCATCCATCACAGATGTTCAAAAAAATCCAAGCCACATTGAACACATTTGTCTGGGGAAAGACAAGACCGCGCCTACCTCTCTCTCTTCTTCAACTGGCCCCTTCAGCAGGTGGCTTAGGATTCCCAAAATTGATAACCTACTATAAAGCGGTAGCGGTCTGCTGTCAGACTCCATGCCCCCAAGAATACCTTCCAATGGGTGGACATGGAACGTGACATAGCTCTCCCTAGCTACTTATCAAACTTACTATGGTCCCTAAAAATATTCAGGCCACAAGTGGCCCCGCTATACCCAACGACTACTATAACACTACGAGTCTGGGACGCATGGCGGACCTCCGTGTCCAACGACAAAAAGTTTTGTATTCTTGCCCCACTGGTGGCACTGGTGGTGATATCACCATGGTTGTCATTGAAACCCTGGACGTCCCGGGTCATCACCCGAATACGGGACCTATGCTCCCAGTCAATGATCTTGCCATTCCCAGATCTACAACAAAAATACTATCTAACTCGCTCATCTTTACGTAACTACAATTAAAGAGCATTGTTCTCACTAAGGTGACAATTTTAACGAACCTACCCACCATGCAAACTGAACATTAGTCGAGAAGTGACACTCTGCCCCTACTAAACCTAAAACCCTGTCCCTTTGCTACAAAACACTATTAGATAAGGCTTCACCACGTTCCTTCACATACGCAACCCAATGGGAAAAAGAGGGTATGCCCAAACTCACAGATGACCAGTGGCTCAAATCCCTCTCTGTGCTCCAAGGCACCACATCCTGCTTTTCCCACATAGAGGCCCACAGGAAAATTGTCTATAGGTGGTACCTCTGCACCACCTGAACAAGATATATCCCAACGTAAATCCTCAGTGTTGGAGATGCAGGGCTTCGGAAGGCACCATGACCCACATATGGTGGGAATGTGAAGGCATCGTACCCCTATGGTCACACGTACAAACAATGCTAAATAAATTATGGCCTACTACTCACCTTGTTACACCTACAGTGGGACACCTGTTACTATTCCCAGATACATGGAAGTTGGAAACCAGGAAAATTGCCACTATAATCATCTTAGCAGCCAGGAATCTCTTAACATTGCATTGGAAGGGTACTTACTGCCCATCCAACAAGGAATTAATAGAAAAAGTACATCAATACTACAGATACGAAGTGCTCTCCTCGGACGCATACATGAAAACAAAGAAGACAGAAGAACTGTGGAAACCTTGGCTTACTCTCAACGGTTACAAGAACCCCTAGAGCAGTGATGGCGAACCTATGGCACGCATGCTTCAGGTGGCACACCGGGCCCTCTCTGTGGGCACAAGGTCATAGGTTTGCCATCAATGCAGAGTAGGCACCTGCCTTCCCAAAACGGCAGGTACATACTCTGCTTTCTTGTCGGGAGGACCGAAAGCAGGGGGAGGGATCTCAGAAGCAGCTATCCTGTCCTCCTGCGAGCAATCTGTGTGGAGCATTACCACGTGTTACCATTCTGCGCACGGGAGGACAGGAGAGCTGCAGGACCTGTCCAACATACTTACCACCACCGGACCACCAGGGATGGCTGTGTTCCCTCCCCCCCCTTCACCAAAAGGTAAGAAGAAGGGAGGGGGGGGTGATACTGATTTATTATACTTTTTTCAACATTTATTTTTTAAATGTATCTTCAACCCCTACACAGCGCCCCTCACACACACAACACAGCACCTCACATACACACACACACACCCCTCACACACAGCACTCCACACCCTTACACACAAACACATACACTGCACCCCTCAATGGAGTATATGTGTGTGTGTGTGTGTGTATTCGGCAGTCTTTATGTATTCAGCAGTGTGTGTGTGTGTATTCAGCAGTGTGTGTATTCAGCGGACTGTGTGTGTATTCAGCGGACTGTGTGTAAGTATTTAGCAGTATGTCTGTGTGTCGGTGTGTGTATGTATTAAGCAGTCGGTGTGTAAATGTGTTCAGCAGTCTATGTGTATGTATTGCATATGTTGGAGATACTAATAAATATAAGCTTAAATTTATCTATTTATAGCAATATTTAAAATTTGTATCATTGAACTCTCTGTTGTGTTCTTCTTTTAAAACAAAATATGTTAACTAGTTCAGACAACTGTACGAGTTGTTTTTTCTAAACTTAAACCTCAGTATTCAGGTTTAATTGCGGTGTTGGCACTTTGAGGAAAAAAAAGTTGGCATGTATTGCGGTTTTGGCACTCGGGCTCAAAAAGGTTCTCCATCACTGCCCTAGAGAGACCTAGATGAAGGGACGTCCACATATACCCCCTCACAGTTTATTTTCTATCCCATCACTGACCACTGGGCACTAGTGATGCACCGAATGGTTCGCTGGCGAATAGTTCCTGGCGAACATAGCATGTTTGCGTTCGCCACAGCGGGCGAACATATGCGCGGTTCGATCCGCCCCCTATTCGTCATCATTGAGTAAACTTTGACCCTGTACCTCACAGTCAGCAGACACATTCCAGCCAATTAGCAGCACACCCTCCCTAGCAGACCCTCCCACCTACTGGACAGCATCCATTTTACATTAATTCTCAAGCTGCATGCTTAGTGAGAGGAGGGAAAGTGTAGCTGCTGTTGATTAGATAGGGAAATGCATAGCTAGGTTAGGGTATACAGTGTCCACTACAGTCCTGAAGGACTCATCTGATCTCTGCTGTAAGGACAGCACCCCAAAAAGCCCTTTTTAGGGCTAGAACATCAGTCTGGTTTTTTTTTCTGTGTATTGTAATTGCAGTTAGTTGTCTGCCAGCTTCTGTGTCAGGCTCACAGTGGATACTGTGCCCAGTGCCACCACTCACTCACTGGTGTCACAATAGCTTGCATTTAAAAACAAAAAACTTTTTTCACTGTTATAGATTGAATAGCAGTTAGTTGTCTCAAAGCGGGTGTGTCAGCCCTACAGCGTGTACTCTGCCAGTTCACAGTGCCACTCATATCTGGTGTCATAACAGCTTGCATTTAAAAACAAAAAACTTTTTTCACTGTTATAGATTGAATAGCAGTTAGTTGTCTCAAAGCGGGTGTGTCAGGCTCACAGTGGATACTGTGCCTAGTGCCACCACTCACTCACTGGTGTCACAATAGCTTGCATTTAAAAACAAAAAACTTTTTTCACTGTTATAGATTGAATAGCAGTTAGTTGTCTCAAAGCGGGTGTGTCAGCCCTACAGCGTGCCAGTTCACAGTGCCACTCTTATCTGGTGTCACAATAGCGTGGCGTTTTTACAGCAGAGTTGATTTGTTTGGTAATAGTCTTTGGTTTGTAGCCTGTCTCATAGATTAGGACAGTACATTTAGATGGGAATTACGGCCATACGTATCAGAGCATATGCGATGGTACCTAGTGGCTTGGCTGTAGATGATGCCCTGTTTAGTATGGGAGGGGTGGAGGTATAGGTAACTGCACCTGTCTGTGGGTTTTCTGTAAACCGAGTGTGGATTGTGCCATTGTTACATGTTACAGTGGTGTCCAGAAAATTCACAGATCTAGTGGAATATTCAATTTTTAGTTTGATGGATGGAATGTGTTGAAAGAGTCATGGAACTGTGTCAGTTTTTCTTCGCTTTCAGTCCAAATTATGAAGATATCATCGATATAGCGATACTATTTGTATGGTTTGGTGTGTTGTATTTCTAGGAATCTCTGTTCAAGATCTTCCATAAGCAGATTAGCATATTGGGGTGCCATCTTAGTGCCCATGGTTTGTAGGTAAACCTTATTGTTAAAACTGAAGTAGTTATGTGTTAGGATAAATAGTGCTAATTATCACAGAACTGGGACTATGTCGCTTTAACCCCTGTTAAAGTGACTCATGTCGCTTTAACCCCTGTATCACAACTCAACTTTGTATTCTATGTGTGGTCTTGCTCAGAAACGCTTCAGACTTGAGAAAGGGAGGTTCTCCCGAAAGCTTGTCATTAAAAAATTCTGTTAGTCCAATAAAAAAGGTATTACAAGATACAAATTTTACCTGTTTTTTTTTTTTTTTTCAGACATTACCAGCCTCTTATGTTCTTTCCTACTTTGCATCTCAGGCTTGGTATATTAGTCATCATCAATGTTCTCTCTGTCCACTTTTTCCTATTAAATGACTTTAATTCATAGAAAAAACATTATGTATTAACAAAAAAAAAAAAAACATGAAATAACCATACACAACATTCATACACGATGATGGAACCCTCTTCCCTCGTCTCTCTGCATTACTATTCATAGTATTAATATATGAGCTAGCATTTCTCTTTTCTTTTCTCTCTTCCTTTCTTTCCCTTTCCCTTTCTTTTCTCTCTTCCTTCCCTTCCTCTTCTATGTATATTAGTCTACTGCCAACAGTTTTTCTAAATTTTATCTGTTTTTTTACATATATATATATATATATAATAAAAGGAGCTGTGGGTGGGCTGAACCAGGAAGAATGTATAATATATTTATTTTAAAAGGGTGTAAAAAAGAGCAAAAGGTTGCTCTACTAAGTACTAATTATGCTTGCCATGAAAAAGTTGAATAATTTTTAGACTGGAGAAGTCATACGTTGCATTTTCAGTTGAATTTGGGGGAAACCACTTGAAACATTTGTTGTGTTTAGCTATTTCAACTGCTTTTGTTTGATTTTTTCCATTGAAAAAGTCTGTAAATTTTGACAATAAACCAGATTTTCAATGGGGCTTGAATATTTTGATTACAACTGTAATATATATCATCCTCATAATCTTTGATTATCGTTAGTATTTCTTCTTAAACAGCACTGATTTTAGAATAATGTTTTAATGATAGATAGAGTTTAAAAACATTTTAAATGGTTAAGCCTCCGGACTTTGGCGAAAAACAGTTGGTTCTCATTTTGGGTTTTTTGCTTTTTTAAAAGATATGGAATCCATTTACAATCTTCAACAGATTTTAATGAAAACATTAGCATGTAACATATGTGTGTTAACACCTTAAGGATGGAGCCAAATGTACATGTTGTGAACGAAACAAAATGTAAACAAAACCTGGCATTTGCGCTACATGTCTGTCCAACCGTAATTCACCTCTTTCATATTAAATGCACCCACACTTATTATATATAATTTTATTCAGGGGAAACAGGGCTTTCATTTAATATCAAATATTTAGTTATGAAACATAATTTAATCTGAAAAAAATGGGAGAAAATAAGATTTTTTTTAAAAAAATGTTAGTTCTACATGACATTTTAACTGTCAATGTCATAATGCTGTTTGCTTTTACTGCAATATTTGTATTCAGCAAAGTCTCACGTGTAAAACAGTACCCCCTATGTACAGGTTTTATGGTGTTTTGGGAAGTTACAGGGTCAAATATAGCACGTTACATTTGAAATTGAAATTCGCCAGATTGGTTACGTTGCCTTTGGGACTTTATAGTAGCCCAGGAATGAAATTTACACCCATAATGGCATACCATTTGCAATAGTAGACAACCCAAGGTATTGCAAATGGGGTATGTCCAGTCTTTTTTAGTAGCCATTTGGGCACAAACTTACATAAATATATATGTAGAATTAGTATATCTATTTATACGTATGTAAAAAAAATAAATATATATATATATATATATATATATGTGTGTGTGTGTAATTTTTTAAAAATATTTTTATTTATATATAGGTATATATATATAGTGATATATATGTATATATTTATGTATATAGATATATATATATTATTTTGTTCTATGTGTATTTTGATATAAATATATATATATATATATTTATATATTAATATCACAATACAGTTAGAACGAAATAACACACATCTATATATTTTGTAATTATTTTTAATTTTTTTTTACTTTATTTTTTAACGTATTTACATAAATTTTTTTTATATTATATATAAATATATAAAACAATAATTATATATATATTTAATCAATATCAGTCTACGTGTAATTTGATATTAATATATATAATTATATATATATATATATATATATATATATATTAATAGTACATACACCTAGACAGTGTATGTGTGTGTATGTATATGTGTATATATACTTAGATCATATATATATATATATGATCTAAGTATATATTTATTTTTTACACTTTTTAACTTTTATTAATTTTATTTTCAGCCTGCAGGGGGACCACCTGTCATTACAGGCAGCCCCTCTGCTGGCAATGCAGGAGGCAGCTGTCCCGGCCATGTGATTGTGAGGTCCTCGCAAGGAAGTCACTCTCACATGGCCGGGGGGGGGGGAGGGGGCTGCAGGATGAAGATCTGCTGCGGGGGGCTCCCTGGGAGTCCCCCCAACCGCGATCACCGATGTGGGACCGCTGGCGACCGGGAGAGTAAAGAAAGATCAGAGGGCGTACTATTACGCCCGGCGGCGTTTAGAGCTGCCTAAAATAGGGCGTAATAGTACGCCCTCCGGTCTTAATGGGTTTAACAAAAAATATCAGTGAAATCAAGGTTATAATAACACACTGAAACTAGAAAAAGTTTAAGATGGAAAAATACTACTAACACTGAAAATATTAGTCAATAATGTGGGAGTGCAATGTACTTATTAACTGTTTCTCCTAGGAAATATAGATTATATTAGAGTACCTTATATTCCAATAAATACAAATGAAAAGACAATATACATACACAATAAAAAGAAAAATATCCAAACCATATTCCTTTATTTAGCATGTATACTAAAACATTGGCACAATAAAAAAATAAAAAAAGTAACAGTGTACAATTTGCAACATATCACAAATATAGCTTAAAGCAACACTCCGAGCACCAATACTACTTTAATGCATTTGATGTTTTCCCTTATTAATATGCTGTATTTTTTTTTTGCATGCTCAACTCTTTATAGTTTTTGCATAAGATAAATATTTTGAAGAATGTTACACCATAAGCTTGCCTCTTTTGCCACACCCCCTCACTTCATAAAAAGACATTCTTATCAAAGGTATGCACACAACTTAGTCACTGACCATAATGAATGATCTGAATAACAAAACAGCTGGCATCTGAAGGAGAAGACACCCAGGGAGCTACACACTAAAGATATCACTACCTGTTTGTAGTTTGACTGTCTGCAGCCAGGTTGTGCATTAATAGCTGCTCACTCAGTGCTGTTGGGACCGAGACTGTATTTTTGATAAGGAAGTTTTTCTAGGATGAGGGGCGTAACTAAAGAGGCAGGCTTATGGTGCAGAATTCTGCAAAACATTTTTTGTGTGTGTTTGTGCACAAATTATAAAGTTTTTAGAATGCAAAAAAATAAAGCATGATAATAAGGCTAACATTTATCAAATGCACTAACGTTGTATTGGTGCCCAGAGTGTCCCTTGAAATTATTGTACAAAAGAATTGTAGAAGAAAGTCAACTATGCTTAACTTCTAAAACTAAAAACCCCCACCAAGCATTTTGAAACCAAAATGTAACAAATGCGGTTTGATGCCATTTTAGCTCAATATATATATATACACACACAGATATATATATATATATATATATACATATAAAAATATCCAACGAATAGCTGCACTCACGGTGATTAAAAAGCAAAATTTATTAGAAATGGATTAAAACATCAATGATCAACGTTTCAGTCCTTTCCGGACTTTCCTCAGGATCAATAAAAAGATGAAAAACAATATATGCACAAAACAGGACATTTATACATAGATCTATTAAGGATGTAAACTTACCCCAGGTGAAAACCGCCATACTATCGGCGTCTCAATCCGTTCAGTGCGCCTGTGCGGACCGCCCCCGCCCCCCGTCATGACGTCATGACGTGATCGTGGTCAGGTCATTGCCATAGTGATGCTAAACAACAAAGCGTCACAGCTATTAGACGTATGCCGGCAAACAGATCGCCATGACCATTGCCATGGTGATACTGATAAACACAGCCACTCCATCGGCACTGAATAAGGGAGGGCTCACTCGGGATAAAACATTAATATGATCAAAAAAGCATGTGAAAAAAATATAAAAAATATAAAAACAATGTAGAAATGTGGGTGTACAATGTCTAAGTGAACTATACACTATATTAGATTAATACTTGTCAGTGCAGTTATAGTGTTTTAAGATATGGCATCTTTAAATGAATGTGTGTACAAATTCCATATAATATATTATAACTATCACTTAGACATTGTACACCCACATTTCTACATTGTTTTTATATTTTTTATATTTTTTTCACATGCTTTTTTGATCATATTAATGTTTTATCCCGAGTGAGCCCTCCCTTATTCAGTGCCGATGGAGTGGCTGTGTTTATCAGTATCACCATGGCAATGGTCATGGCGATCTGTTTGCCGGCATACGTCTAATAGCTGTGACGCTTTGTTGTTTAGCATCACTATGGCAATGACCTGACCACGATCACGTCATGACGTCATGACGGGGGGCGGGGGCGGTCCGCACAGGCGCACTGAACGGATTGAGACGCCGATAGTATGGCGGTTTTCACCTGGGGTAAGTTTACATCCTTAATAGATCTATGTATAAATGTCCTGTTTTGTGCATATATTGTTTTTCATCTTTTTATTGATCCTGAGGAAAGTCCGGAAAGGACTGAAACGTTGATCATTGATGTTTTAATCCATTTCTAATAAATTTTGCTTTTTAATCACCGTGAGTGCAGCTATTCGTTGGATATTTTTATATGGATGGCTATATTTAGCTAGCACCCGGGACACAAGGACATTTGGAGCGTGAGTGCAGGGGATTCTTGTATTTTTCTATATATACATATATATATATATATATATATACACACACACACAGAGGAATATACTGAACTAAAACAATGCATATATACACACACAAATGTTTCCGTCAATTACTTGGAAGTAACTAAACACATTGTTAAAAACATACAAAGCAATCTTAGAACTTTATGATGACATACAAAGCAATTTCAATCCGAAATTAAACTGAGTATAACAACATAGCAGATTATACTGGTAATAAATATCTCATGCTTCTCCTGACATGGGGGTTTAATTCACTAAATAAAAAGAGTTGAAGTCCGTTGACCAATGCGCTGCAGATATTTGGGCCAAACCAGTTAAGATGGAAAACAAAACAAAATTGTTTTAATTAAAAATTTGTATGCCAATCCAAGAACAAAATAGCCAATATATATACACAATATGTTATATACATATATAAATTGTTTTAAAAATATGGAAAAAACATTAAAAAGTAAATAAAAGTAAATAAAAAACACACAAAAAACCTAGTCTTACAATAACCATACCATAACCAAATCTAAGTGTGTGCACTGTGCTTTTATTAAATCATAAAGTCCAAAATTGTTGAAATAAGTGTTTTACCTAGAATTATTATACATATGATTGTCTTTCCTGGATGGAGTATGATGATATCCAGTTATAAACAAGATTTTCACAGCATATAATCAAAATCACAAATTTCACGTTTTTGTTTTTTTTTTACAAGTTACCATTCATAAAAATTGGAGGAGAAAAATACAAAGACAACAGTTTTAACATAACATGTAAACTGTGTGAATTACAGTACATCTATAAAATTAGGAGGCGATGCCAGAATACCAAGATAACTGTTTTAAAATAGCATGTAAACTATGTGAAATACATTATAGGAAACAAACTGACACAATTTCCTTCACTGTACAATTTCTCAGATCTTTGAAATAGAAAATCAAAAAAATACTGACAGTTGGAGAGTTCGCTAGCAAACCAAGAAAGAACGCTCTAGATCAGGGGTTCCCAAACCAGTCCTCAAGTACCCCCTACTAGTCCAGGATTTAGGAATTATTTTGTTGTATCTAACGTGTTTTTGTTTGTAAAAACACCTTAGACATAACTGGGTAATCCCTAAATCCTGGACTATTAAGGAGTACTTGAGGACTAGGTTGGAAACCACTGCTCTAGATTATATATACAAAGATACAGGACACGTAATCAAACAATTATAACAGCGATGTCAAATTAGAAGGTTACATTATTAATATAGCTCCTGATATTTCATAAGAATTTCCATTTAAGGTAGTTCAGATTTGCATATTTGTTACTAAGTGTATACAACCAATATATGCTTTTTTTTTTTTAATTTTTTTTTTTAAAGTTAGATCTGTGGTGTTTAATTTTAAGTATATTTTAAACGTCTTTATTAAAATGATTATCTTAATGACTTAAGACAAAGCACCCTACTATAAATACTCAAGCTTGTTTGTATGGAAGACTGTCAAGTACATACGCCCTATTTTGATTCACATTATTTCACAGTTTTTGAAGTAAATAACACGTTGCTTTAGGGAAAAAGTAAACTAATCCCATGAAAAAGCTGGACTACCTTTTCTTTATATGAAATAAAGTCATAATATGACATCTTACCAACATTTTAGCACTAAAGATGTTTAAATGTTAGCGCAAAAGTAAGCTCCCATTTATAAAATGGAAGGCAAAATATTTTGAGAAAAAAACTTCTATCAGTATACTTGTCAATTTTAACACTTAATGTAAAGTCAATAACTTTAGTCATATGTATATTTAAATAATGTTTTTCTATCCCATCTACCAATAAGGCATCCAAAATAATAGGGAAGAGAGTAACATAACAGTGTAAAAATTTGTAGCAACATTAAAGAGAAGAATATTTATTTCATGTATGGAGGAGTCATGTTAGAACTAAGGCAGCAATACCTTTACATTACAGGGTATCCCTGCCCCCACTACAGGTAATTAGACCATGTGTTCAGGTTTGTGATTAAAATTAAATTGGTTTGCAAGCTCCATTTTTATTCTGAATATAAATGGTTTGCGAAGAACCATAACAAAAACATAAGTTGCCAATTAGGACATGAAATGTAATTCTCTTGCCAAAAAGACTACAATACTATGACTTTCAAAGTAAAGCCTAAAGAAACCATCAACAGAAATATAGATTTCAAAAGGAGTGAATAAAAAGTTGTATGATACCCACACAGGCACACTTGCTCTGCAACATATCTAAGTCTACAAGTCATATTCAAATTACATCTACTCAACTTACAATTCTCACTTACATCATGACTGTATCAGATAACCTCTCTTGAATTACATAGCAGTCTTTTTACATCTTAATATAGTCTGTGAGCACCTAATGTAATGCCCCCTAGCATCCTCTAAACTACAATATAAACAGTATATATTATGAGTGATCAGCAAGTTATATACTTTGCCCTACTGTTGTTATTATTAAGTTGAATATATGTTTCCATATTTTTGCATATAAAGGAAGCAGTTTTAATGCAGTCTTAAATATGATTTTTTTTAAAATGACTGTACTCAAAACTAGTGAGCAACCCTTAGATAAAAAGACAATCTTTTGCCATGTTTGTGTACACTAGTATGATTTAAAATAGGCCTTTTATATTTTAAATTAACTTTGTTCCAAGACTCCTGTTTGTGAGCCGGTGCCCATTTAGATGTAAAGCTGAAACTATACATACATACCACAAAAAGACCTTCAATTACAAGATGTAACATACGCATTTCAACTAAGTGATGGTAAACCAGAATATAATGATTTTTTTTTCCATATCAGCAATCTTGACCTACAATTTCCAACTTGTTAATGTCAACCACAAATTATAATAATGTAGAATCAATGTGTTCAGCCCCTTGTTTACCGAACAAGCAGGAGCTGCCTTGTATCAGAGGAAGCCATTTTCACTGAATATGATATCCATGCAATGATACTATCAAAAAAAATGTGATACTGCTGGTTTCCAAGATCAAATTTTGCAGATGGAACCATTAATGGACATTTTAAAGGAGCTTCAATCAGCATAGTTACAGTAGTGTTTTGTAACGTGGCCAATTTGCTACTTAATAATTTCATAGAATACACCCCAAAATGACACCAATATAAAAGGACAGTGCTCAGTTATACTATCTCACAGACAATATTTTACAGGCCATAAAAAATATATACAGTTTTTTTTGTCTGAGAAACAATTGAACCTCTACTTAGTCTTAATAATGGTCATACTGTAGCTGCACAGAAAGTTAATCAAGTTTACCATCAAATTGTACAGACAGAAAACAGAATTTGCCCTCAAGAACCTCTGAAACATGCATTAACCCTTTGAGTGCATACTGTGCAATATATTATGACATTAGTCCTCAAAAACTAGCCCTCAAAAGCAGATTTCCTCACCAAGATAGAAACTACATAGTGTACATACAATCTATCATCTAAAATCTAAGAAATGGATTCTCATCTAGAGCTAAAAATTCAAATGTTATGCTTTATTAAAAAAAAAAAAAAAAAATATGAATAAACAACTAAGAATATATTTTAGCTTCTACACATACCGGTTCCATACTATTATTATTTAATTATTTGTATAGCAACAGCAAGTTCTGTAGCGCTGTACAATTATGCTATATTAATAAGTGTGCATGCATTTGGGCTATGTTGTATACATTTTCATTGTGGTTTTTTTTTTGTTCTTTTGCATTAAGCTCACAAAAGTGTCAGTAACAATAACTAATAATTTACCGTATATACTCAAGTATAAGCCGACCCGAATATAAGCCGAGGCCCCTAATTTTACCACAAAAAACTGGGAAAACTTATTGACTCGAGTATAAGCCTAGGGTGGGAAATGCAGCAGCTACTGGTAAATTTCTAAATAAAATTAGATCCCAATAAAATTACATTAGTTGAATATTTATTTACAGTGTGTGTATAGAATGAATGCAGAGTGTGTGTTTGTGTGTGTATATATAATGAATGCAGTGTGTGTGTTTGTGTGTGTATATAATGAATGCAGTGTGTATATAATGCAGTGTGTGTGTTTGTGCAGTGTGTGTAAACTGGGTGAGGGGAGGGCATTTTTATTTAAATTTTTTTATTTTAATATTATATTATTTTAATAATATTATTTTATTATTATATTATTATTATTTTAATATTATATTATTTTAATAATATTATTATTTTAATATTTGCATTATTTTTTTTTAAATGTTTTTTTGTCCCCCCTCCCTGCTTGTTGCCTGGTCAGGGAGGGGGGACAAAAAAAAACCATTTAAAAAAAATAATGCAAATATTAAAATAATAATAATATAATAATAAAATAATATTATTAAAATAATATAATATAAAATAATAATAAAATAATATTATTATTTTATATTATATTATTTTAATAATTATATTATTATTATTATTATTATATTATTATTTTAATATTTGCATTATTTTTTTTTAAATGTTTTTATGTCCCCCCTCCCTGACCAGGCAACAAGCAGGGAGGGGGGACAAAAAAATAAAAATAAGGCAAATATTAAAATAATAATAATATAATAATAAAATAATATTATTAAAATAATATAATAATAAAATAATAATATAATAATAAAATAATATTATTATTTAAATATTATATTTTAATAATATTATTTTATTATTATTATTATTATTATATTATTTTAATATTTGCATTATTTTTTTTTAAATGTTTTTATGTCCCCCTTCCCTGACCAGGCAACAAGCAGGGAGGGGGGACAAAAAAAATGTAAAAAAAAAATAAGGCAAATATTAAAATAATAATAATATAATAAAATAAAATAATATTATATTATCTTAATAATATTAAATCCCTGGTGGTCCAGTGGCATTGGCAGTTCATGGGGGGGCTGACAGTGAGCGGTTACTTACCTTTCCTGCAGCTCCTGTCAGCTCCCTTCTCCTCCGTGCAGCTCCTCTGTCAGCTCCGTTCTGCTCACAGTGTAAGTCTCGCGAGATTTACACTGGGAGCAGAACGGAGCTGACAGAGGAGCTGCACGGAGGAGAAGGGAGCTGACAGGAGCTGCAGGAAAGGTAAGTAACAGCTCGCTGTCAGCCCCCAACAGGACCGCCGGGCTTGTAATGAGCCCAGCGGTCCTGGTCTGTATTGTGGCAATGTAAGTTGCCATAATACAGACTGACTCGAGTATAAGCAGAGTTGGGGTTTTTCAGCACAAAAAATGTGCCGAAAAACTCGGCTTATACTCGAGTATATACGGTAGTTCTTCATCTGTGAGAGAAATATTGGCGTAAGTCTAGATAATGATAAGCATTAAAGGATTATTACATAGACCTTGTAAATACATAGGTAAAATTGTATCAATAAATTTATGTTTCTTTTGAATGTTTTGTAAATTGAACTATCAATATACTATAATTTGCTGCTACAATATTAGTCATATGCATGTTATATTTAGATTTTTAATGTAATATTCTGTATCATTTCATTAACTCCTTAATGTCTATTCCATCAAGAGAGTGTAGTTTTTAACCACAAATTAGATGATTAATTATTTTTATACCAGTGCTGTATAGAGCTACTGATGTTCATTAAGTACGAGGTTTAATGCTTGCCAAAAGGTATTTTTTTTAATAAAAAATAAACCACATTTAAAAATAATAAATTTAAATAAAAATATCATTGGGACTTTTTGGGAGTTTACTTTCTACTACATGATATGCTTTTTACTGAAGTGATACCAGACACTCACTAATTTAAAGGGTCTAAACGTACATTTACTCTGTACAAAGAAAAAGGAAATAGAAAGAAATTAAGGGATTTCTCTCAATAAAGTAATAGTGATGACAAGTAAAAACACATTTTCATGGGGCAATCCACAAAATTCAAGTCTTTTCACAAAAATAAATTATATATCTCAATAAACCCTGAAACTTTCATCATAAAGTTCATTGACGTATAAACGCATCATATTTTACAGAATTGTTCAGAAAAAAAGAAAAAGTAAAAAAAAAATGCACCCCCTCCCTCCAATCCCAAATAGCTAGGGAATGCCTAGAGGTCAGTGAGAACCAAGTGCTGAAAGATTAGAAATAACAAATTCCCCCTCAAAAAAATATATAAAAATAATTAAAGTAATTTTAAAAAGTATTGTTTCCATGCTGTAACAAAACCAACTAGCCTTCCCAGCACAGTATGTGATTATTCCATGAGGCTTTTCAATAGGTGTTAAAACATACTAGTTCGATTAATTTGGTTTCATCACAGGACAGTTTGTAGCAAGGAATGCATGCATTTAAGCTGTTAAGCATTTAAGCTGTTAAACTGAACTGGGCAAATTCAAGAACGGTTTCTCCGACACCTAAAAAGTACACAACTTGGACTATACCAAACAGAGGTGCAATAACTAATGCTCGACATCCTGATCCTTTCAAAAACGCGGAAGGACCCTCCTTGATCCAAATTTTTCTGTAAAAAAAAAAAAAAATAGATACAAACAATTATTTACCTAACCAACAATCGGATGACTTTACCAAAACTTGTAATGCAATGAGCAATAATTGTAATCAATTAGAGTGCATGAGGGGAGAGAAATTTGTTTCAGCTACCCATTTCGAATAGATCCCAAGGAAGGCACCCTCCTGAGAGAAATGGGTGAGAAAACAGTTGGTTGGCTAAGATATATAAACTTTTTAGGACTGTATCTATGTCTAGCAGTGTGTGTCTGTGTTTGTGTACCTGGCAGTGCAAATCTCTATAACTGTGTGTCTGGAAATGTCTGAGCATAAATCCAAGTCTATATGTGTTTTGGGGTGTATGCTGGGGTCAGGAGGTAGTGGTTTCTTTAAAGAAGTTCTGTCACTTTTCATAATTTCATAACAATATGATTTTTACGAAATACTGAATCTGGCTGCATTCCAACACAACTCAAAGCTACCATAACAAAGTGAGGTCTACTTTTTCCTATGATAAATCAAAGGTTGTCAAAGCAGGACTCTGACGTAAACTTTTATCCAATCCCATCAGCCATGTGGGTCTCTCGTGTATGGAGGTTTCTGCAGGATTATCTATAGACCTCACTGTTGTACTCTCGCACATGTGTGAGAGTAAAGCACTGACCCGGCTCTTGGCAAATGAAGCTTAAGGTGCTGAAGAAGACCAAGCTGAAGAAGATGGTAGCAGCCAGGTGGGACAGTTTAAGATACGTAAAACTTGCCTTCCACTGCACCCCTCATCTACATGACCTTAACCAGATATGTCACCTTTGGGGGTCTTTGCAAAATTCACAAAACCCCTGAAAGTTACAGATTTGATGCCCCAAAAAATTAATTTGGAAGCCCTGTATATACAGCAGTTTTTCTTCAAAATAACGTTAAAATATATTTGTTTTTTGTTTAAAACAACCTGCAAGCTTACCTGACACAATCTATAATCCCGTTATATGTCTCTTCATTTGCTCCTTTATTCAATGACTGAAGACGTGTCTTTATAACTGAAAAAATAAATATGGAAAAGCATGTCATGTAAATATTGGGATTCTGTTACACAATATGTTCATATCGTGTTAAAACCACCAAGCCATTGAGGAGAGTCAATGGAAGCAGTTTAAGCAGTATGTATTACAGATAGAATGTTTGTCTCCCATGTTAAAGGGTCACTGTAGGCACCCAGACCACTTCAGCTAATTGAAGTAGTCTGGGTGCTCTGTCCCTTTTGAACTTAGTGCTGCAATGTAAAACATTGCAGTTCCAGAAAACTGCAATGTTTACATTGCAGCTCTAAGTCTGCCCTCAGTGGCTGTCTATAAGACAGCCACTAGAGGGCCTCCGGAATCCAAACGGACTTTTGGCCCGTTATCTGATGCTGGAAGTATTCTCGGACCTCCAGCGTCAGGTTTTCACCATAGGAAAGCATTGAATAATGCCTTCCTATGAGGAGGTCTAATGAGCGTGTGGCCATTGCCGCACATGCGCATTAGGTCTCCCCCGCCGGCTGACGTTGGCGGGGAGGAGAGTGGGCCAGGCCGGACCCAGTGCCGAGGGACATCGGCACTGAATTCAGGTAAGTGGCTGAAGGGCTTTTAACCCCTTCAGTCCTGTGGGGAACCTATTAAACCTATAGTGCCAGTAAAAAGTGTAAAATATTGGGGTACTGTGATGTAGTAGTGGGCTTAACACAATATGGCAATAAGATGTAACAGTATCCCCATATTTATTTGCTAGGTGATTTTAAGTAGCCTATTAGGTTTTAAAACAATTTTTTTTTGTGTGTGCACTGTTCCCTTAATCTGTATTTGTATATATTATGGCCTTGGCGGCATGTTCTAGATGTAGCCCCAATTACCCATTTGTCTATGTAATATAATAACAGCAGATACATCTGCATTTATCTCTTTGTATACATATATGCTTTGTATATACAGATTTGGTAAGTCTGGAGCTTCCGTGAGTAGGAAATTGCTCATTTCCTATATTAAATATTTAGTTTCCACTAGCCTATTACTGCTCTGTTTCTGTATAGATTGAAACATTGATCACTAGCAATGTGTAGCTTTTATCCATGGATATATTGACAGATCAATTTTTTTATTTTTTTAATTAATATTCTTTATTTATAGAACAAAAGAATACAAACGGCTTGTCTACACAAATAAAAAAAAGCTGCAATTTTGCACATGAAATATTAAAAAGAAAACAAATTACCATATTAAAAAAATTCACATCTGTGCATATCATAAATTACACATACAACTAGTCCCCCATCCACCTGCCAAATGTCAAGTGTGCAATCCAACTATAAAGCTAGCCCTTTGCATTTTTCAAATAAGTTCAATATGCTAATAGGTTACAGGGAAACCCTACTACATCTATAGTATTTCACATTTCTCTAATCAATTCTCACAGTATATGCTATTTAAAATCACATAAATGATTTATTATTTTTAACGTATAAGAAGTTTTTTACTTTCAGGTAACTAAACAGTTCTCATTGTGGCACTAAATGTAATGGTTTCTGATTCATTAAATTATAAGGACTATGATATTTTGATAAAGTACACTACTGAAAGAATAATTTTTTTTTATTTTTTTTTAAGCACATCACTAAATGGTAAGTAAAATATGTATATAAAAGACAACTATTCTAAATACGTTGGAGAGTACTTATAGGATCAGTATAATCTGTTTCTGTTTGAGGATCTATCCTTTTAAGCATTAGGAAAGGGAAAGAGATCTCAATTGAGATATATGTTATATAGAAATTAAAGTTAATTCAAAAATGACCTTGATTTACTTAATTAAATGGATTTAGATATTTTGATATGCACACTAACAAAAGGGCACGAAGGATGTATTCAACGTGAAATTGTATCAACAATTAATATACATTTTAATGAATAAAAATTAACAGTGTTATTTTTTTTCTCCTCAGATCAATGTTTTATAATATTCCTGGCACTAAATAGGAAATAAAAAGGAATGGAAACAAATGTCACTTAGATTAAATAGAATTTTTTTTCTTTGGCAGAGAGAGGACAAAGTGCAATATGACCTTACCATCACAGGGATTGACAGACACAGCTGCGGTGGAGCCAGCTATACAGCCTGCAACAAATGAGTGAAGAAAGGGAGCCCGGTCATCAGGAGAGGACTTTCCAAGTTTGTTGAGATTGGAAAATAATGGAAAGTAGATGATGGAGAATGGAACATCTCTATAAAAAGAAACACACATACCTATGTGTTCAAGATAAATTGTATACAATGTTGTAACACTTTCATAACTTTTTTATTTTTGCAGAGCTTTAAAAATCCTGATCACTGATATATATTTAATGCATGTGATACCTGAATACACATAAGAAATTAGAGCATTTAATTAGTCATGCCAGCTAATGTACCTCGATCACAGTAGACCTAATTTTGTACACTCAATGCGGAAAGAAGTGATATGGGCAGTGTATTGTGACTACTTTTCAGTTCCCTGAATTCGAAAGATCAGTGAGAGATCATACACAAAGCAAATTTTTTAAATTTTACAGTTTCCTACATGCATTAGGTTCAAAGGTAATTTAAACAAGAAATATATGTACTACCTAATATTGCACTATATGGGGATAGCCCAACATATGTAAAGGCTAAATAAAAGTTTTCACTAATTCTACAATATCTTCTCTTTCCACTAAGTTGCCATTGAATTTCTAAATAAATATATCAAAAAGAATGTAGGGCCGACAAGATGCTGGACAATTTATATATTGTATATATCTTCATCCGTAGCCCAAAACTGTATCCAGAGTTGTAATTGAAGGTCAAGACACGCTTGCCAATACTCAATCTAACCCCTGTTTTTCACTTGCAGATTCTGCACAGTTTATTCACAAAAGCTATATTAGCTGAAAAATTATTTATTAACAGAGGTATGTTATACTGGTGAGCAAGAACACTGAGCAATAGCTACTCAAAGTTTAAGATATATTGTTGTATCCTTAAGTAGAGAACGTTTACCAACATTAATTAATGAAGCACAAAGTACTAGGCACACTGAGTAAACATACACAACTGTGGAGTAGTTGCACAGATGCCAGACACCCATATCACTAGCACATAATGACAAGTACTAAGGCAACGCTTTTTTACCATAGAAGACAGCTGTAAACCCCTCAACTGACGAATCGATCTATAATGTAGCTGCTAATACAGGGATCACGTGCCATGCAGAGACTATTGCAAATTAGGTTAGCTATAGAAATTTAGGGGGTTTCTTTTGTTTATTATTTCTTCCTCCAGTTAATTTTATGGTTTATGAAACTGGCTTCTTTGTATTACCGAATAGAGTACATGCATGTGCTGGTCAGCGACATGCCCAAGGAATGTTATACGCTATGTAACCACCCTTATTCTTCAAATCATAAATATCCAATATAAAGTAACTGTAATAATTTACCTTGCACTGTACTTATGATGTATGGCCACTTTGTCTTAATGCATCTTCATTGTATACTTTGTTGTATGACCATTGTACAAAAAGCCTACATGTTAACATGGTGTAATGCATTATGTTTTTCTGCAAATGAAAACATTAATAACAATTATATATTTAAAAATATATATTAAAAGTCATATTTTGTACCTTAATAAAGTTGCTCCTAATCCTTTGTAAAGTCCTCTAACACCCTCTGATCGCAGAAGTTGAGAGGCAATCTGTGTAGCAGAGATCTTTTGAGTCACTGAAGTTGGTCCAACATTGTATGCCCTTGAAAGTGCATGGACTACGTTTAGATGCTTTGAGCCAGGCTGCAGACATGGTATTCCTACTGCTGCTTTCTGATGACATGCTGAAAAATAGAATACACTTTAATAATTAACCATACAGCAAAGATGTATATCTCAAAATGGGTCTACAACCTATGTGTAAATGGCATGGTCATCTTCGGGTAGTTGTACTTTTTATCTGTGGAAATATTGATGCTGGCCAGATCCCTAGTAAATACACAGATTAAAAAATAATAATAATAGCTATGTGAGGATATGTCCTTTGATTATATTGACGGCAAATTTACAGAACTGCTTTAAACACAGCCTCCCAATGACACACAAGGTTATTCACTAAAACATCTGCCAACCAAACTGAAAACATAGCTGAGCATTTTTTCACAGTTTATATATTTCTTTACTAAAATTATGAATTCAATTTCAATTGTCAACAAGAGCAATTCTGTATTATTGCAAGAACAACAGTAAAAAACCTGCTTTGCAGATTAAATACTACTAATAATAATAAATACAAAATATAGCACAGCCTACCCAAGATCTAAAATGAGCCACCAATCGTATGAGAAAATAATTCAAAAACCTTGCATAAAATACCAGTCTGTCATAATTATATAGTAGTTGAAAAACTATATAACTTGGGAATAGTATAATCTAAAATATAAAATCTTACAGTTAAACAAGTTGCAAAAAAGTAACTACAACCACATGCCAATAAAAAAAAAAATCACAAACCAATGAAAAGGATAACCTCAGCCAGCATGACATATCTGTCCAATAGTTTGCAAACACTTAAACACCTTGACATTCCAAGCTGTTTAAGTGTTTGGAAATTATCGGACAGATATTTTTTGAGAGATTTACAAAAGGCAGAATGAAGATTGTACCAGTGATAAATGTTTACAGCATGTTAATATATAATTTTGAAATTATAGCGGGTGGTTTCAAAGAGTCCAAAAATACACTACAGAGGTTTCTTTAGCCACAGTTTTCATGAAATCAACACATTTTAAAAATGTGGACCTGCTGCTCACTATAAACTATAAAAACACCTGAGGGGTCAAATTAAACAACTACTGCTTTATTAATTACCCAACTGGAAAAAAAACAACTGAATATGGCAAAACAGATATTCAATATTTACATACCACATAGGTAAAGTTTCACTTAAAGGAACACTCTAACCACCATAGTGGTGTGTTTTTGTTGCCAATAATCTCTGGGTGTCCTCTGACCTACACCTTTTGGAAAACCATCTAACCCTGGCAAATATAAAATACTCCATCTCCAGCCACATTGGATGTGCTAAGCTTAACAACCTAAATGGTGATGACTGGGTGAGAGTAGATTTCATTATCAATGCAGTAGTGAATATGTTGCTTAGAGGGCCAATCATAGAACACAGATTAGAGGTTTGCTATTTACTAAAGACACTCACCTAGTCGCCCTGCATCCTGAAGCTGGATTTTTAACATTTCCATTGGAGTGGTGACAATAACTTGACAAGTTCCAGCCCCACATCCAGCCAGCATTTCTTTAAAAAGAGTCAAGGATTTTCTAAAAAAAAAAAAAAAAAACAATCAAAAAGCTAAATATTGTCAGTTGTTATACTGCAGGAAATAAACATCTCTTTCGAGGTATCAGAATCTACAGTCTCTCCTTGAAATGGAAGTCTTAAAGTTTTGCAAGTTATATTCATCATTTCTAAGGTGTTTACTTCGGGAGAAAATGCACTTTAAATCTAATTTTGTCTGCGGAAGCTAAGGAGTAAGTGCTGTCATTTTACAATGAAACCCTGCCATGTGCATTTGTGCAAGCCTGTTTCTAGCGTTTATTGCATATACATGAATCACATGCAATGAATCATAAGTTACCAAGGAAAATTTCCATAACTGTCAAGGTCTAGCTATTTCCAGGCGGTTTTAGGCAAATTAATGTATAATTAAATGGAAATATGTTCTCCATTTGATGGGCTAGTTCCTCTTGAAAGTATGGTCGGATCACGCAGTATGTGTTACCCGGGGATGCTATTTTTACCTTCAAGAGATAAAGTGTAAAGGCAGATTGCAGATGGAAGCAGAGTCCAATTTCCCAGAGTGTTAAAACACACTTGAGTTAGTTCATCTGATAGGTGGCAGCTATTGCAAAACCTGAATATGCAGGTCACTGGCTGTATCTTTGCTGGTATTCACACTGGCATTGGTCCATTTTACAACATTAACATGCATGGTTCTGCTACTATAACTGATAAGTAGTTTTAAGAGTTTTCTCTTGACGCACAAATTAACTGGTACAATAAAATGTTTTGTTTAAAGTCTTCAAACAGGTAATCCCCCTCGAAGGCAATCATCCTCAGTTTATAGAATGATCTTGTTCATTGAATTATTCACTTATGTTATGTGCAGCTTAAAGATGGAAAGTCCTGCTTGATGAACTTGAACCTTCAGAAACATTTAGATAAAGAGTGGGACAAAGTTAGAATAGATGGCTTTAGGAGGCAGCAGGAGGAAAGGCTAGGATTCATAAGGAAGGCTGTATATAAAACACTGGAATTGTTTCCTTTGAAATTAGGAATTTTACTTTTTTTTCTGGAACTTATTAGTAAGGATTTCCAGTGCTGCTCTCAATGCAGCTATGGATAGGAGACTGATCTACTGACTTTTCAAAAGAGTTTTACGCTCAGTGGTGTGTTACTCTCTACATACACTGAAACCGAACCTCCTAGTTATAGACGCAAACATGTACTCTTCATAACCTGTGCCTGATTTATCTTTTTTCCATGATGTTAAAGCATCATCACAACTTCCATAATTGCAACAGTGATGCTGCACAGATCACCCTGTGCCTGATCTCATCTCTGAAAGTGGCTGCCACTATAACACAGCATATGTGAGATGTCAATCAGGAAGCTAGAGTGCTTTTTTCTAGCTGCCTGATACTAATTGTTTCCTAATTGTGCATTATTTTTTTTAATCTGCATAATGCATTCAAAATAGTGCCATTTTTTACTAGTTACCCTTTAAAGTACAGTATTAAACAAACAAACAATCTAGCAATTTAAATTTAAACACTTTTAGAACAAAGTGTTAATTAAAGGGAGTGTGCAGTGGTTCATGGGATACATATTCCTGGTATTCCAAGAAAGCGGAAGGGGCTCAATTCTAACCACAGCAGTCCCTTAAAAATGTATGAATTTAGAAAGATACTTATTTTCCAGGCTTCCAAAGTGTGAACAGATCCTGTTGCTTAAAAGTTGCATTCTCCATAGTAAACAATACTTGCAAGCTCACGACAGACTAACAAAACAAAATTAAAAATGTAGTAGGAAAAATGATAGTATGATTTTACTGAATTGTGTGCCAGGGATGCATCTATTACCTATGAAATAGTAGGGGGTTCACGTATGAGAAGATATTTAAATCTTCTACAAGACTTTACACAGTTATTAAAAGGAGCAACCTACCCATCTTTTGCCAAGTGATGTCTGAAAAAGTCATTAGCAGCAAGCTTAATTGCCTTTTCTGGAGTCACTAGAGTCAAGTTTACTGCTGCACCTGTAAAATGACAACAAATCTAAATAAAAGAGCTTAAAAATTTTCACACAAAAAACAAAAAATAATTTTCTACATATTTACATTCTTCAAAATGACACTAACCACATACAATGGATGTTTAAATAAATAATATTAATAATAATAATAATATATTTAAAATAAAAACAGTGTGAAATAAAAGTAAAAAAGATGCAGTGGGAAATGTTGTAAGAAATTTTTATGCAAATTGTTGGCTACATCAATTACATTTAACTCTGATCTATAGATGTTTTGTATAATATTGTTTTTCTCCTAATTCTGTCTTTGTGTTGTTGACTTTTTTTCTTCTAAATGTTCTGTTCTAAGCTGTTTGGTAAACAGAGGGACTATTTAACCATATTGTTTTCAATTGTAAAATTATATCTATACATTGTGTTAGCAGTTTTGCTAGTAAATATATAGATTGGGAGAAAAACTATTTAACCATGGGTTTTTCTCCCATTAATCTCTCAATTTCTTGGCAGCCATTCCTTTGCAGAGGAATTAATTGAAAGGGATGGCAGAAGAGACCTCCTACAGGAGGTCCTTCTGCTCTCTACCCATAGCATTCACAGTGCACAGCTAGCAATGGAACGGCGTGACATCACTTCGTTCAGTGGGAATGAAGCCAATGTGTCAGAGTCACTGAGGAGGGAGACTTGCCCTGCTTGGGGAATTGTTGTCAAACAGGGCAAATATGTGATTATCAAAGGAGAAGTGGGGGCAGACTGGAAAGCAGCAGAGGTGGAGCAGGGGTGGTCCTTGCTAAAGTAATCACGGCAAGGGAGCAGAGGCCAAGGTAAGTGGCTGAAAGTTCCCTTAAAGACCCTAAAAGAATATTAATTAAGGGTCAGTCCTTCATACTTTTTATCACGACTTAAGGTTTGCAACTTGAACATTGATTGACCTTAGCTACCAAATCAAGTTACAAAGAAAAGACTTCCAATTTATATTTTATATGCAGGATGCAAAGCTGATGCTTTGAAACAGACATTATATTCAAAAACAGGGCAAAAAATACACAACATGGACAGAATTAGGAGAAATTCATTATGCACAAATAAACATGACAGCATGCTTTTAACATGCATGTGTGTGACAGTATGTCAAGTGGGACTCTTTAAAGTTTACTTAATGCATGTATCCCAGTGTTCATTATTTTAAAATGATAAATGATTTTAATGAACAGTGTGTCCATAATATGTCTTATTAATTTCAGCATTGCTACAGAAAAACACACTGAAAGTAAAACTAAAGTTTTATGATCATTTTGAGTACCGTGTACCAGCATTTTGGTACCTACCAATGTGTCACTTGACTATAATGTAAATATTTATTTTTCATTGCCTTGAATTAAATTAAAAAGTAAAATAGTTTAATTTGAATATTAGTTGTTAGTCCATGTGCTGTTTAACTTCTTTCTAATAATATTTTCTAAATTTCAAATATACTTTTTTTTGCACTGGAAAATAAATGCTAAGCATTAAAGGCAGTACTTCCATTTTAATATGAAGAACTATCTTTGCAAGGTTTCCAAAATCAAAAGTAGCCATATTGAGCAAAAGATAAAAGAAAGGCACATAGATATAACAAAAGCAAAGGAGACCTAAGCCCCAAGATGTTAGAGGTATAGAGTTAAAACAAATCATGTTATAAATCATGCACAGAATGGTAACCTATTAAATATGAATAAGAAGAGATAAGACAGTTCTTGAACTCCCAATGCAAGGAGATTACAGGTGACAGTAAGGTGCACCAAAAGGAATTATTTTAACAAACAATAATTAATTTGAGTTATTTTAACTCTTTATAAAATAGTTTAAAGGAATCTGCAACACAAAGAGCTATGTATGTATATCTTAAAGGGTGTATTAACATTAGAAGCTTCTATCATGAAATGGATGGTGAAAATACTACACAAGAAAAATATCAAGCAACTATCCTTGTTAGGCGTTTCAATGAACTGACTTAAGGAAGAAAAAACAAAACACAGAAATAGGAGAAAGGCAAGGGAAAGATGAATCCTATATGTACTTTAAAAGTAAGAGTAATAGTAAAAAAAAAAAAAAACGTAAATTTAAACTAAAAATGTAACAATAAAAATAATAAATATACATGAAAAAAAGAGTTTTGCCTAATTACAGTTGTAAGCAGTACTGTAAGAACCATTTTAATGATCCACCGTGGCTTCGCCAGATCGGCTAGCCCTCAAAATCCACGTCGAAAGGTCTGCAATATGAAAAACACAGATGCAACAAAACAACATTCTTCTGCATACAACAGTGTCCAGCATTGAAAATAATAAAGACATGACTACTGAAATGCCTGATACTACAACTGATGGAATGTAACAGGGTACTTAGAGTCAGGGAAGAAGTAGGGTAAACTAATGTTTGTGGATCATGGTTATATAATCAAATCTTTCTACCAGAAGTAATATATTGACATATACATTAATTTAAAAATTTTCCTCGGGGATAAATATATCATTACACAAAGTGAATGGTTCTTATTTTATAAACTTCATAAGGATGACAGCCTGAGTGGCTTCTAGGGGGAATAAAACATGGGAGATTTAACAGGCACTACAGTTGGCCAACTGAAGCCACTCAGTAATATTTACAATATATTTTTTGCCTCCATATTAACAATTTTATTATTCAATCATGTCACCATACAATACTAACATTTTTGTTATATTACAGCTAATAATTACATCTGAGCTCATGTGATACTTTCAACATTTCATTAAGCACGTCTTTATGGTGCCAAGGAAGCCATATACACAACACAAAATCTTATTCTTTGGAATCACTAGAATAATCATGCCACTGTGCAGGCCGTGACAGCACATTTAACACAATAGGTATTACATGACTGAAAGGCTAACAGCAATGTTACCGTATAAGCTGTAGCTTGTAATTGAGATGGTAAAAAATGAATACATGGCACAAACCAAAAACATACTTTACAAAAAAAATTATAATAATAATACAAAATTTATACTTGTGTTTTCTACAGCAGGCATGCATCACTTGCATGGTCCAGTTAGGCTGTAGTAAAGCTAATTATATGGGAACTTGTCCAACATCAAACATATCAGAGACCATCTCAAAAGTTCATTAATATGGCATCTTTAGAAAGACTATAAAAAACTGATATTGTTCCCCTTTCTTAAAACAGTTTACTTCTCGTCCACAAAATGAATTAATCCATTTTTTTTTTTTATTGGTCAAAAGCTATATTTAAATAAGTGGTACACATACAATGTGTTGGTATCAGCTTTGCAGGATGTGTAACATACCTCTATACATTCCAAAATAACCTTCTGAGCGAACAGTCTTTCGTAAACAGTCCCACCTGAAATGAAAGAACAACACCATGTTAGAAAGAATTCATGTTCATATACAAGCTGATCAAATAGCCCGTGCTTGTATATATTTCAAAATGTATAGTTTAGAAATGAGAGAAAAACAAAACCATAACTTTTTAGTAATAACTATTAATTATTGTCATAAACATCAATGCATAAGTAAAACTGACAACTCACATGTTTTTATAGATCTGTTGTCCGTTTCTCTGATTCTGCAGCCGAGTTTTAGTTAAGTCAATAGGAAAGACGCAAGTCACACCAATAATTCCGGCAATACCTCCATTGATGAACTTGGCAGGCATGCTTAAATAAAAGAAACAAAACAATGTTTTTCAATAACAGAAATAAAATTATTTGGCTCTCAGGATTCTTTTTTTTTTTTATATATATATATGTGCTACAAATACCACGACTACTGGTACATAGCATAACTGGAAACTTCCTGTGCTTGTTTGGAAAGTATCTTTTAGTACTTTGTGGTGAAACTGCTTTACCAAGGGGTGGAATATAGCTCTGCCTAGTCCCTAACTGGATTCCTGGGGGGTGGCAAAAAAAGACACCCCCCAATCACCCTGGCAAATGCCTTGCCAGCCTCTTGTCCTGGGGGGCCCAGGAGCTGGCCAACTCAGGGCCCCCCGAGGCTGGCAGTGGCGGCACTTTCCAGGTGGGCGGCAAGGGAGCACTGATCCTCCTGTTCAGCTCCCTCGCACGCACCACAGTAATGCCAGATCCGGAATATGACACCACTGCGGCCCTGGCATCACTACGCGGCGCACGAGGGAGCTGAACGGGAGGATCAGTGCTCCCTCGCCGACTGCAGGGACCGGCCGGCCACCCAGCAGCCCAACTGGAGAGAATCCAGGGAAAGCGAGAATCCACCCCAGCACTCCCAAAGGTAGGGAGGCTGGCGGGATTGAATTTAAAAATAAATGTGAGTGTGTTTGTGCATGTGTGTCTGTTAGTGTGTATGTGTCTATTAGTGAGTGTTAGTGTGTGTGTGTCTGTTAGAAAGTGTGTGTGTGTCTGTTAGAGAGTGTGTGTGTGCCTGTTAGTGAGAGTATGTGTGTTTTAGTGAGTGTATGTGTCTGTTAGTGAGTGTGTGTGTCTGTTAGTGAGTGTGTATGTCTGTTATCTAGTGTGTATGTCTGTTAGCTAGTGTATGTGTGTCTGTCAGTAAGAGTGTATGTGTATTTAGAAGGCGGGGCAGTGGGGTTGATGGTGGTGCCTGAGTTTTGTCATGCCTAGGGCTGCACAAAACCAGGATACACCACTATGTGTGTGTATATATATATATATATATATATATATATATATATATATAATAAGCGAAGAATGTGACTTGCGTAGAACAGTTCATAACACATTAAAAAACAACTGGAGTCTCAGTCTGTGCCTTTTAGAGACACGGAATTGTTTTGTACTACAGTCTTGTGTCACAGAGGATACTGCTTTAAATTGGCCATTATACAAAATTGTGCGTATGTCTAGCACAACCCTGAGATTTGGAGTCCATGAAATGCTCTGTAGCAGTCGAACCATGCATTGTGGAAAATAATGTACAAATGATAGCGAGCATCATGCAGTACTGTCTATACAATCTGTCCCATCAATTTAATTCTTAGAAATATTTTATAAATGATAAACAAATATAAAAATTATATTCAACTATACAAAATACTTTTTGTTTTTTAACTTAAATAAAAAAGTAAGGCATAGTTAAAGCTCACTTAACATAATCACCCATGATTCCTACCTAATCTGTTTCTCAGCCATCTTCAAGTTTACGTTCTCAAGCAGATATGTTTGGTCACAAGTGTTGTGGTCTCAACTGCACGGAATGCCGACTGAGCACTGTGGAAAGATGGAGGATTTTAAATACTTCAGCTCTTTGTCTATAAATACACCACTGGCATTCACTCACATGTGAAATGACAAATGAACTCAATGACTCACTGGCAACTCACTGACACACCACTCAAACACTGGCACCAAAGTCAATACTAGGAACTAAAAAAAAAGTTTGCATCACCCAGCTTAACAGAGAAAGAGATCATGTGCTTTCTCAAACTATTTGGTACCAACAAAACGTATTAAATGGCGTATGAACAATCAAAAGAACTGGGGATTAATGGATTGAGTTTACTTACTGACTGCAAAATTTGGCTTTCACTGACATTTCGATACACTTTTTAAAAACAGCTTTCAAGTTAAACCGAGCCATTGTTTTTACTTGCTGTCTATCCCCTTTTTACCATCAATTTAGCATTTATTATACAAGCTAAAACCCCCAAGAAATGATAGACCACTAAAAACCCCCAGAAATGATAGACCAACAGAAAAATTACCCAAAATTTTTAATAGTAATCATTCTTCTAGTATTTGAGTGATTTACCCAACTGGGATTAAAAGAAATTCAACTACCATAACTACTATAGATTATGCAGTACTTTTGAGCACGGAATCTTTAGAATCAGTCTTGAATTGCTTTGTTAAACTCACAAGTGCTTAGACAGATGTGAAAAAAGGTAATATTTTTCAGTTTGTGCCACAACGCCATGCAAACTGTTCTTAAGGCTTACCACAGTCTACACACCATGAAGAGTGTTCTATATGAGCGAGTCAAAAGTTAGGAGATACAAATTTAGATAATGAGAATATTCATTTAATATGCAATTGCCTTATAGGTATTGGGTGGTGCCTGAATTCACTCACTGAAATAATCAGCTGAACATTATAACATATATTACTTACAACAAATAAATGATCACAAGAATCAATGCAAAATATATTTAAAAATAATAATAAAAGTGGTGTTTATTTATATTTACCAAGCTAAGGTTAGTGTAAACTGCTCCTTTGTACCTACATTTAATTAGGGTCTTTGGATGGCACTTTGTTTAATGGGTATTAGTCACCCTCTTACCCAGAACTGTACAGACTGGAGAAGGATGGCATCTGACAACTATACTGCCCCTTAGCAATGTTCTTTCCTCCGAGGGCAGAGCACACTTATAGCAGAAAGATAGGGCATGCGTCTCTTATTATTATAGGCTAAGGCGTTGGTCAATTTATGTTTAAGAGCTATGCAGATGGACTGTGAAATGGGAATCCCTAATGTTTACATTAACCCTCACTGCTACATAGAGAAAACAAAGTAACACTGCTGGTACATATGCTACAGAAGTAGTAATTACTTAACTGCAAAAGCAAGAACATATACCATTATACTTTATAATTAGTTATATATTTACTGCTTAAGTGTGTGTTAACACTTAAAATAAGGTTAACTTTAATTGAGATTGATAATACAAATTTGCTAATTTTTGAAATATATTCAAGTGAACCTACCAGGCTCAGTTTTAAATGCTAACACTTCCTTAGGCAATCAATATATAATTTTTCATTATGCTGACAACCTAGAGTCTGCGCACCCTCATTTCTAGCATGCACGTGGTTTTCCTGCACCTTTGCATGCTGTCACTCTAAGTCCTAGAGTGACAGCATGCAAGGATGCAGGAAAACCACATGCATGCTAGAAATGAGGGGCCATTATTTTATTTATATTTAAAAACAAAACAAAAAAAAAACACAAGAACAACAAAACACTATAGAATGGCTAGTTTATATGTACAATGACTGGTAGCTTCAACACAAATTGTCCCTAGCACTTTCCAGGAATTGAAGGGTATATGTACATTTCCTATTGACGCTTAATCTACAATGACAATGGTAACAAAAATACAAAGAAGTAGAACAATGAACTGTCTGACTGGTGTGATCTTGCTGGTAACAGACTAAATATGCTTTAAATCTAATTCCACATCAATGTGCATCTAAGCTGAGTAGAAACTGGAATCTCTGTAAAAGTGAATGTGTAGTATTAAAAACTGCACAACATCTGATTTAGGCTTTAAGTGGTTTCAACAAAGCCATATGGATAATGAACATGAAGCCTAGTAGTATCATACTTCATCAATTCAGCATCTTCTCATTCAGCTGCATTGGAAAGTCTGTTATTGGATAGAAAGTGTTAGATGCATGCATGTTTTCATTGCGGCTATATCTATTACATACTACATAGCGATTGTTATTTGGGCCCTTAAACAAAATGTATGGATATCACTATGTTCTAAAGTAGACTTGTTACGGAGTACTTACCAAAGATTGGTTTGAATGCTGAATTTCAGAATAATTCTGCAAAGGAAGGAGACAAAAAGTTTAAATTCAGACCTAGCATTCGCAAAAAAAGCTCTACATTTTGCTAAATAGTTGTTCTACTTCACTGTCTGCATTAAACACTAAAATCACCCACTCTTCCTGTTTCAAATAAACACACCAAATGAAGTAGACTACAATTTGATATCAGATAAACTCACCAGCTGCAACTCCGGAAATACTATTTTGTGTAATGTAGATTTTGTGGTCAAAAAAAGAAAAAATAATAACACATGCAAGGCAGCCAGTGTTGAGAAATGCTTTCCTATGGACACTTTGAATGCGTGCGCGGCATTTGCTGTGTCTTCGGCTCCGCTGACGTCAGCAGCAGAAGATGACGTCGGCTGGGGAGGAGAGGTCACTAGCGCCGAGGGAGCCCGGCGCTGGAATAAGGTAAGCTGTTGAAGGGGTTTTAACCCCTTCAGCGCCATGGGAGGGGGACCCTGAGGGTGGGGGCACCCTCAGGGCACTAGAGTGTCAGGAAAACTGCTTTGTTTTCCTGACACTATAGGATCCTTTAAGGTTACACTGTATCAGCTCATATTCTACCAGTTGAAGTTTGCTCATTTGAGAAGAATCAGATTTAACCAGTACTGACTGTTTAATTTGTGATAGCAAGTGTTGATTACTCCCCCCTTCGGTCCCTGTTTACCAATTACTTTTGTATTTGTTTTCTTTTTTCCTTTTTGTCTTTAACGCTAGAGGATTTTTAAGTATTATAATAAAAGTACTGCTTTTATGGCAGGTAAATAGTGAAGTTAAGCCCTCTGTTGGGGATTGACTTTATTGGTAATCATATTAACACACAGTCCTTGAGTAATCCTTATAACTATTCACACGGGGTATTTAATATTATTTTCCAGTCTCCCCTTCAATAGTAATGTTACTTAATGTTAAATAGCCATGTTGCAATGTTTTAATATTATTGTAAAACCTCCTGTCTAGGATTTATGGTGTAAACGTTGTTAAAGGTTTACTCCAGCCTTCTTTACACTTCACTTTATGGGGCTTACAATGTCCTATTGGCAATTGCTAATAGCTCCACCCACTCAAAGTATTAAAACTTACATGTTATCCAGCAACGATCTCTCTCCTCCGTCTGACGGAAGCAGGAGCCAAGCTTAGTCCAATCACGGCTTCTCTATGAAAATCCTGAGATTAGACTGTTTTGCTGGCTCAGAGCGCATGCTCATGAGCCAGTCAACCGTGTCCCTACCGCCCACTAGTGGGTGGTTTGGGATTTCAAGTGGGCGGTGGCAGTTCTGCAGAAAACTTCCAGTGAGCCTCAATGGCCGTGTACCAAGGCCGGCAAGGGAGATCCTTTCATCTCCCTTGCCAGACCATGCAGAGCCAGCCTTGCTGTAAGCCCTATCGGGCTGATAAGGAGATCAAAGATATTCCTCATCAGCCTGCTGGCACTTAGTTCCAGCAGAGGGAAGGGCCTGGGAGGCCTGCAGGAGGACAGGAGAGTCACCCTGCAGCTGGAGGACCACCAGGGCTTGCAGCATTATGTTCCCTCTTACTGGTAAAAGCTAAGAAGAAGGGAGGGGGAGACATTAAGATAGATTTTCACATCCCACCCACCTACACACAGCATAGACCCTATGCACCCTTCACACACACTACATACCTCACACACACACCGACTGCCCCCTCACACACACACTGCCACCCTCACACAGCACACCTCACACACACACACTGCATGCTTCACACACAGCACTTTTCACAAACACACACAGCACCCCTCACACACACTGTGCACCCTTCACACACACACACACTGTGCACCTTTCACACATACACAGCCTTCAAACACACACACAGCACCTCACACACTACAACATTCACACACAAACACCTCACGGGCACACATAGAAAAAAAGTAGAATAGAAAAAAAATAAGTAAATATATATATATATATATATATATATATATATATTATTTTTTTTAAAACCCTCTTAAAAAGTGAAAAAAATATTTAAAAATCACACTTGCACTATAAAAATGTGTTACTGTGGCACTGGTGGGTGATAAGGAAAATTTACCATCAACAAAGATACAAAAGTGGGCGCTAGGTATTTAAAGGTTGACTACCCCTGGTCTAAGAGTTTTGACAATGGAGAGAAAACCAACTATTTTTTAGAAAACCTAAAAATTAAAACATAACCTTCCTCTATAAATATTAAGCAAAAAAAAAAAATGTGTAATTTTGCACGAGAATATTTTTATTGTTATTCTTTCTTTCATATATTATAAATATACGAGTCATTTATGTACCGATAAAGAATCACATCTGAAAATATCGGTGACACGACTGAATTAAAAACTTTGAGTCTTGAGTTATCTAACTCTTAACCTCTCTAATTAAATTATTAAGCCTAGAGCCTGAATTTATGCAGTATTTTAGTCTAAACATGCCACATGAATCTGACATAATCCATGACTTTCTCTTCTTTAAATAAATTAAATAAAATAAATTAAAGTCATACATAAAAATGAAGATTTTATTGTATTTTTCGTTGGGTTGCAATGCTAATCTAATAATTTTAAATAAATTATTCATTATTCAAGGCATAACTAAAAGGTATATCTTCCACTCCTATTGTCGTAATGCTCTGTTTGCCTAAGGCTGTCAATGCATAATGGGAGTTGTAGAACAATTAGAAAACAACTTCCAAAATAGCCAAACCTGGTGAAAAAAAGTAAGTAAATTCTAAACCATACATGAATGCCAGTCAGATAGAATAGGTTTTTTAACCTAGTTGTTGTCAGAAAGCTAGGGACATTTTTAACCTGGTTCCTGACAGATTTTTAACCTTGTTACTTCAAGTGCTTCGAAACCAGAATATGTTTAATACAGAACATATGCATTTGTACTGCTGTCTCATACAAAGCACAATATGTCCCCATATATTTACCCTGTTATCTACATATTTCAGACACCAAACATAATAATAACATAAACTGTTCAGAAAATAAAAAAAAACTTTAAACGCGCACTTACCTATGGGACGCTTTAACTACAGTCTCAGTAACAGTGTAAGTGACGGGAAACAAACAGGTAAGTTACAGCAGTTAATGAATGGAAGAATGTGACACTGTATACCGCTCTACACGGTGACTTAGAGAAGAAAAAAGAACGTTCTGGAATGTTTCACTGATACAAATTGCAGGAGGCGGGGTTTACGTTGCGTTCTGACCAATCAGCGTTTAGTATTGGGACAGTTTGAGGCACTAAGTCCTGTCCCCTCACAGAGTAGCATTCCTGTTCTTTGATGCGAACAGTTACTGCTTGAAGTAGGCCTTGGAGCGCCTATGTGAGTGGCAGTGGGCGGGGGAATGACTTGCACTCACTTGCTTCAGCTAGGCTTATCAGGAGCCCTCAATACACTGTCTGAGGGCAGGTACACTGCAAGGTCATGCTAATTAGTGGAAATTCTCCCTTTTAAAATCTGAAAGGATATTATCTGTTGGTAAGCAGAGCTTTCAGTCACCATGAGACATGTTTAAACAGGCGCCTGTTAAATGGAGCCTGGGTTTCAGAAGTCTCGCAGGCAGTTACTGTAGCTTTACTTGTTTTAAGTGTATTGTAACAACATTGAAAAGTTGTCTGACGACATTCTGTGGTGATGAGACATTCAGATTACCCTGGGCAAGTTTATTTATTATTATTTTTTTTTTTTTAAAGAGAATACTTTTTGAGTAATTCTCACTCACATACAGAAAGCAAATGAATTAGCAGAGAAAATGTACTAGTAGAAAATGTCAGAGGGTGATTAGCACAATTCACAGTATGTAGCAAAACTGACAGTTTGCAAAAATTCAATGTACACTTTAATAACAATGTAAAATGGTATTTACAGGGTTATTTGCTAAAGTGAGAATTCAAAGTGAATTTCACATTTAAGGAGAGAGTAGCTGAAGTGAAAGCATATTTGTCTTAGATGATGTTTCTTATTCAGCTATTTTGACCTTAAAGTAGAAATTCACCTTAAATTCTCACTTTAGTAAATACACCTGTAAGTGTGGAGTATCTGTCAAAAGTTTGAATATGACTGTGCTTTTCTTATGTTGCTCTTGTTAATTATATGAATATATATAGAATATAATAATGTATGTGACTGCCTGTAACTATGTGTGTATGTGTGTGACTCTCTGCCTGTAACTGTGTGTGTGTGTGTGTGTGTGTGTGTGACTGTCTGCTTGTAACTGTTTGTGTATGACTGTTTGTAACCATGTGTGTGACTGTTTGCCTGTCACTGCATAAGGCTCCCTTTATCTCTGTGTGTGAATGTCTGCATGTAACTGTGTGTGTATGTTCCTGGAACTGTGTGCATGTGGCTGTTTCTGACTGTGACTGTGAAACTGTGTGCATGTGACACTGCAAAATTACACATCTGTATTCACATATGGGCCTACATGCATTTTTAATTTTTTTAATCTGAATTAAATAACCATCAAAAATATCACACACACCGTCAAAACACACATATATAACAGACAGGAAAAACATCCATAACAAATATCACACACAGAGGCGGAGGCGCAGACCAGATTCCCAGCATACCCTCCTCCCTCCCTGCAAGTTGACAACAGAGAAGGTCAAATTAATAAATGTTTTTTAAAATAATTACCAATTTAATAAAGCCCTTTTACAAACACTACACCCTTATATCCACACTATATGTGACCAGGGAGAGGCCTTGTGAACATTTTTCGCACAGGGTGCCTAAAAGCCTAATACTGGCCCTGAACTTATGGCTAGTGTGAAATTCACCATGAATGCGGAAGACGTTGTGCTTACATTATGTGATCCATTGAATTCTATAGATGAACTGTTGGTGACTATTGAGAGGTTTTCATTGTATTCAGGCTATAAACTGAATTTAGGTAAATCTGCTGCTCTACTGATTAATTTAATTCAAAAAAACAAAAAAAGAACTTACTGATAAGTTTGCTTTTGATTGTACTGAAATCGTAATTAATTATACATGGATTGAGATAAGCAATGATCCTACTAAGACAATGGAGATCAACTTTTTGCCACTGCTGAAGTATATTAGTAGGAAGTCAAAATAATGGAAACATATGGAGATTTCATGATGGGGGAGAATCACACTTTGTTCTGCCAAGAATGCTGGCAGGGATTGGTTCAGTCTGTTTTTAATACATTTATCTGTTTAGGGAAATATCCACATATCAGCAAATCCATTGGTTTTCAAAGCTAACCAAGTAGGATTTGAGGTACCCTGGCTTAAAGTCTACTGGAAACCATGTAGTTTAGCACATGCTATCATAACCCAAATGGACAGTGCTAAAGGACTAGTATGTTATAAAATTGAGCCATCTTTGATGAGGCTCCCTTGACAAAGGCATTCTTTTTGCCAAAACGTTGGGGGCTTGCTGACTGATTTTTCTTCCTTCTTCTCACTAGGTCTGGTATGTGTCTGTTATTTGTATATAGATTTCTTTGTGGGTTGTTATGATTTGGTATCTCAAATAGCTATCTATTACACAGGTATTCAGCAATTCATTTACAATATATTTGGCTCATATGCAATTCTAGAACTTTTGGTAATTTCTCTGTACCACTTGTATGGGAATGTTTGTTTTTGTTTTGATTTATTGATATGTATGATGAGATATACATTTGCTGTGGACCCATCTAATAAAGATTTTTGTATATATTTATGGTTGTTCTCCTTGCTTGGGTAGTACTTGTAACTTTTTTGGTCCTTTGGGAATGGGAACTTGTGTGAGCGAGCACCCAGTATCATTTGTTCAGCTTGAGACTGTCTTTATTAACACTTGGAGTGTGCCTAACTATTTTTAATTTTTATTATATAATGTATTAATTAACAAAACAAAATTAAGGGCTTTGCTTTTTTAAATGTTGGTAATTGATTAGATAGCAGAGATATCTTAATTACAGAATAAAGCAATATCTTTGCAATCATTTGGTTACAGAAAGATCAATTAAGATAAATTAGAAAAAATATATTTTAAAAAACAGAAAATAAGAATTTGATTGCAGAACATTTAGAACTGTTTAAGGAAGATTCAAATAAATTAATTTGACCCATTATTAGAAAATGGGAGTCTGATCTAAACATAAGAATCAACAGCAGAGACTGGAGAAATTCAGTAAGTATGACATATAAAATTATACATTGTTTAAACTTACCAGAAATTCATTATACACTTTTAAACAGATGGTATTTAGTCCCAAGTAGGTTGTCCAAGATTTTTCCAACACTTCAGACATATGTTGGGATTGCCAACCCATTCAGTTGTTTTACATGTATGATGGGATTGCCAACCCTTTCAGTTGTTTTACATGGATAATGGGATTAACAACCCATTCAGTTGTTTTAGATAATGATCAGAGAGAAAATACAAATACTAACAAAAAAAGACAATAGAATTCCAACCTGGGTTTTTTTTAAATACATTTAAATATTCAGAAACTTTCTACTAAATATATAAACTTAGTTATCCAGATATTGATTGCTGCTAAAATGTTGGAGGCGAGTTTCTGGTATTTCCCTGTTGGTACTTGGTACCTGGTTAAAGAACCGCTTATATTCCAAACTAAGATGGAAAAGGGTATCTTATGACAATCACAAGAAATGTGGTTAAGGAGAATAAAAGAATTGTAACCAATAGTGTCGCCTCTTTATGTTTGTGATAATATAACTGGAATAAATTAATATTGAGTTGTTACAGTTGTGTTCAAAAGTTTGCGTACCCTGACAGGAAGTATGAAATTTGGCATTGATTTTGAAAATATGACTGATCATGCAAAAAAATGTCTTTTATTGAAGGACAGTAATCATATGAAGCCATTTATTATCACATAGTTGCTTGGCTCCTTTTGAAATAATGATAACAGAAATCACCCAAATGGCCCTGATCAAAAGCTTACATATCCTCGAATGTTTGGGCTTGTTACAGATACACAAGGTGACACACAGATGTTAAAATGGCTATTAAAGCTTAATTTCCCACACCTGTGGCTTTTTAAATTGCAATTAGTGCCTGTGTATAAATAGTCAATAAGTTTGTTAGCTCTCTATCTGAGCAGGCTGGATACTGAGCCATAGGGAGCAGAAAAGAACTGTAAAAAGACCTGCGTAACAAGGTAATGGAACTTTATAAAGATCGAAAAGTATATAAAAATATATTCAAAGCCTTAAAAAAGTTCAATCACTTATTAAGAAGAGGAAAATTTGGGGATCTTGATATCAAGCCAAAGAAATATTTCAGCCACAACTGCCAGAAGTATTGTTCGAAATACAAAGAAAAACCCATAGGTAACCTCAGGAGAAATACAGGCTGCTCTGGAAAAAGACGGTGTGGTTGTTTCAAGGAGCACAATATGACAATACTTAAACAAAAATGAATTGCATGGTCGAGTTGCCAGAAAAAGGCCTTTACGGTGCCAATGCCACAAAAAAGCCCAGTTACAATATGCCTGACAACACCTTGACATGCCTCACAACTTCTGGCACACTATAATTTGGAATGACGAGACCTAAGTAGAGCTTTATGGTCACAACCATAGCGCTGTGTTTAGAGAGGGGTCAACAAGGCCTATAGTGAAAAGAATACCATCCCCACTGTGAAGCATTGTGGTGGCTCACTGATATTTTGGGGGTGTGTGTGCTCTAAAGGCATGGGGAATCTTGTGAAAACTAATGACAAGACGAATGCAGCATGTTATCAGAAAATACTGGCAGACAATTTAAATTTGTTTGCACGAAGGCTAAGCATTGGACGCTCTTGGACTTTCCAGCATGACAATGACCCTAAGCACAAAGTCAAGTTGATCCTCGAGTGGTTACAGCAGAAAAATGTTAAGGTTCTGGAGTGGCCATCACAGTCTCCTGACCTTAATATGATTGAGCTATTCTGGGGAGATCTCAAACATGCCGTTCATGCAAGACGACCAAAAACTTTGCATGACATGGAGGTATTTTGCCATGACGAATGGGCAGCTATACCACCTGCAAGAATTAGGGGCCTCATAGACAACTATTACAAAAGACGGGACACTGTCATTGATGCTAAATCAATACACAGTATTAGGAATTAAGGGTATGCAGACTTTTGAAAAGGGGTCATTTCATTATTTCTTTGCTTCCATGTTTTGTTTTATGATTGTACCATTCTGTTTATAACCTACAGTTGAAAATGAATCCCATAACA